TAATTAAAATAAGATATTGCTAAATATCGGTATGTAATTTCATCGGTCATCAGGGATTCAATCATTCGTGGGCGTTAAGTTTTAAAAAGAAAGAATTGTTATTCTGTAGAACATTCCCATTTAAAAGCCCTTATCTCACACTCTCGTTCTCTTGACTTAGACTATGCTCTTAAACCAAAATGCGGCTCTCGCTCTCTCATTTCGCAGATAAAAACACTTTTTGGAAACAGATAAATCCGAATTAACCTTAAAACACTCTTGCTGTATTTAAGCCTAATGTTTTATTTTTGCTATCCGATTAAAACCTCAAACTCTCGCTCTATTGATTTTAACCTTCGTTACATTCTCACTCTCGTGACAAAAGTTATTAATTTTGGCAAAAGAAACAGAGACCAGAAACTTTTATTTCATTTAAATTCTAAGTCACGGTTTACTTAACCCCCTCCGACCGATTGTGATTACATATCGATACTATAGGTTTTAGCCAGACAAGGCTTTAATATTTTTACTAGATTCAATTCTAATACTAAATAGACGGTAGAAGGAATGCATAAAAATAAAGCGAAAAAAATTAAAGCAGATAAAAGAAAACCTGGAAATTAGCAGAACTTGGATTTGATTTTTGAAGGTCAGCTTGTATTGTCGGTACAATGTTTACAACCTACTCAAATCAATTCTAAACTAATGGCATAACAATTTGCCTTACAAAACCTTAAAATAATACAGAGAAAAATAAAAGGAAAAGCAAAAAAAGACTAAAAACTGGAAAAATAATGCGTGAAAAAAAAACCCCATTCTTCACAAACTGCTCCCTTTTTATACTGTTAGTGGGCTGGCCTTGAGAATTCAAATTAGGAGAGCTTTTAGGATAAAATGTAGTGGGAATTTGAGAAAAAGTTGGAGACTTCGTGTAGGAAATTTAGGGGAGGAAGTGGCAGGCGTCACTTCTCGTTCAAATAGGGTTGAGAGTTACCACTTTCTTAATATTTAGGAGTGACACTCGCCACCCCTTTCTATGTGGCAACCGCCACCTTCCCTTCATTATATAGGTGGCAGGCGGCACCTCTCTTCTATGTGGTAGGCTCCACATCCAAGTGGCAAGTTCCACTTGGTATGTGGTGGCCCCCACACATTTTCTTTCCTTTCTCTTTCTTTCCTTCCATTTTCTTTCCATTTCCTTCTTATTTTCTTTTAATTTTCTTCCTTTTCTTTCTTTTCTAATTATTTCCTTATTTCTACAAAAACAAACAAAATGATTAATTAATATGATAAAAATCAGACAAACTAATAATAATCGAAGGTAAAATCCATGTGAATCAAGTCAAATAAGCGATATGATTTCGCGTTATTAGCACACATGGCCTACTACCTCGAGAACTTACACGGGGACGAGATAGCTCGACCATGGAATGCTGAGAAGCTAAAAAATACTATAGTTAAACACTTCCCGCGACGACACGCCTCGCAATCACGGGAGCGCGGCATGGTACCAACACGTCTCCCTAAACTCAACGAGATAACAAACACATGCTCTTTGTGTGTGTTAGCTGAAATTTAACCAACTAATCGTCCAAGTGTACGAACACCCTGACTACTGCACTATAGAGAAAAGAGTTCACTTTGTCATTCCAAATGTACGAATACGTCCAAACACTTAATTTCTTGCACTTTTCCTTTTTTATCTTAAGTCTTTATTCCAGTTTATTGTAAGTTTAACTTTAAAATTTACCCAACAATTTAGGCATTTAAGCCTCAGTATCAGAATACATACTAAAATCTCGTTCTTTTCCGTTGTTTAGTCTTTGAGAGATTAAATTAATCAGAAAGCAAAGTCACAAATCACATATCCATCAAAGTGCACCATTGTCCAAACAAAATAACACGCCGAAAACATAACCGTCCTGGGACTAGTTTGGCCGGTCCAGCAAGCAAATCCGCGCAGGAAGGCCAAAGGTTGTTCGCGCGAAAATCACGTGCCAACAAATTGGCACACCCGGTGGGACACCTGGTTTTAGGTGTATGTATTTACGTAATAGAAAGATGGTGATATCGCTGTAGCACCCTAATTTTTGACCTTAAGATTTCACCTCCTTGTTTTTTTTCTTTCTTTACATCTTTGTGTGCATGTTTATTATCACTAACGAGTTTGCGCAGGTGCATAAAGTCCGAAGATAAGAGTGCTAGTTCTCTCGGTCAGCAATAGTTAACGGTGTTTAGAAAGCCCGGTTAGAATCACGGGTCGTATTCACGGGTTCTGCACATAATTCTTCAAACATCTTTGATGTATATTCTCTACCTCCATTTGTTCGTAGAACCTTGATATTCTTTTCACTCTAGTTTTCGACAAGTATTTTGAATCTCTTAAAGATTGCAAATACTCAGTCCTTTCACTATATCACATAGATCTAAAGCTTTCGACTATACTCATAGAAAAATGAGACAAAATACATGTTTCCACCAATGGTATGATCCTCAAATGAGCCACATACATCTGAATTTACTAGTTCTAGTATGCAAGAGGATCTCATTGGCATAGTCAAAATGAAAGACTTTCTGGATTGCTTTCCGACTAAGGAACCTTTATAAATTTTTTCGGGCATCTTAAGACTTGGTATACTAATTACCATATCTTGAGTAATTATTTGAATGAGTTATCGAAAGTTCAAATGTCCAAACATCAAATGCCACAACCAAATATGCTTGTGGTAGGCAACAATTTTTAGACATTATACTTCAGTCGAACTGATCAGGGTCTTGAATGTCCTATTCTTCAACAAAGGAGATTTCAAGACCAAATTATTCTGAGTGTCAAATAGTTCCAAGGCTCCGCCTTTCATAATCACTAAGAATCTTTTTCAACCAGTTGTCCAACATTTAGCATATTGCACTTTATTCTAGGTACATAGAGTACATCTTTGATCATAGCTTTTCCTCTATTGCTCCTTTGAATAACTACGTCACCAGTACCTTCTGCTTGCTATGAGCTATTATCAACTAGTTTGACCTTGCTCTTTTTAGAATCGTCAAAATATACTAACCATTCTTTTAGACCATTCATGTGATTTTAACAGTCCAAGTCGATGAACCAGATCTTAGAGTCGACACGGTCATCTACAACTACAGCCATAACTACCATATCTTCATAATCATCTGAATCTTGGCGTGCTAGGTTCGCTCCTTCCTCCTTGCCTTTTGTCGCTCCTTGGTCTTTATTGTACTAATAATTCTTGGCCAAGTGACCCCACTTTTAACAGTTATAGCACTTCACATCTTTTTTATCTTTGTCTTTCTGATAGGAGTTTCCCTCTCCTCTTTTCGAGGATTTATAAGCCATATCATTGACCTTATACTTTTTAGGGTTCGACCAAGACTTCTTGCTCATAGTCTTGTCTCATTTGCCTTTAAATTTGTTGGAACCATCATGCTTCTTCCATGCCTGAGCCTGCAGTTCTTGTATCGATTCTTGAACCCCTTTCCTTTTGACAATCCAAATCTCATGCGCCTCCAACGAACCAACCAAACCTTCCAAATTTAGGGTTTCAAGATTGTTGGATTCTTGAATAGCTACAATAACATGATCAAAGTAAGAGGTCAATGTACATATTATCTTCTTAACTATCATCTTATTAGTTAGGGTTTTACCACAATCCTTCATGAGATAGATGAGTTTTGCACCTTCGACACATAACCTACAATCTTTTCATTTTTTCCCATCTGCAGCATTTCATACTTCCGTCGCAAAATCTGTAATTTAACGATTTTGACTTTCTCATTTCTTTCATAGTACTTGACAAGAATATCCCATGCCTCCTATCTTGTCGAAATTTACTGAATCTACCACCGATTGAATGCAATATGCGATATCTTGCAGACTTTCTTCTTGGCCTCATTGTTCGCGACTCTTTAAGCATCAATTGCGTTCTTAGAAAGCTCAAGGACGCCATTAGTAACCAATTAAGGGTTTCATGAATGCTAAACAGATATTGCATATGTTTTCTTCATCATATCCAATTTTTGTCATCAAGAGTTGAAAGAGAATTCAGAATGTCGTTAGTACCATTCATCTTTGCACTGATTGATTAACAACCCACAATCCCCGAAACACAATCACTGACATGTGATTCTTGAAAACACTATCAAGAATCTAACTGAAGCTCTTGATATTAGTTTGTTAGTGCGTGTGGCACATGTAGTGTGTATGTGTGTGTGTGTGTGAGAGAGAGAGAGAGATATTAATCCCCAAATTACCATCTTCAACGTCGGTACTCGAGATTAATTCTAATATCATGTGATTTCAATTCCCTCTCGATTGCATTATTATATTTTGGTTACAACAAATGAGTTGTTTTTAACATAATCCCGATATCTATACTTTTTGCTCTAATGTATCTTTTGCAAAATAAATTGTATTTGCATTTTATTAATTAAAATACTTTTAAATATGTATTTAATAAATAAAAAGTATGTATTTTAAAAAATACAGCATAAAACAATATATTTCATTATTAAATATATTAAATACAACACTTAAAACATAAATTTGTATATCTATAAAATCTTATTCAACCTGGCAATATTAAAATTATTAAATTGACAAATTCAAACTTAAAATTTCACGTAAATTTTTAAATGATGCTTGAGACTAGAAAAAGATAAATAACTATATCTTTTCCTCATGGATAACTCAATTTTTAAGTTATCTTTTAAAAATTGAAAAAATGAACACTATATTTCAACCTATCACTACTAAAAATAAGGTATAATTTTAGTTTTTCTTTCATTCTTTCAAACTAATTAGAAGTAACCAGGAACTTCACGTTTACGCTATGAAAATGACATAATGTAGAAATTTGAATAACAAAGAACGACTTGGAAATTGTCAAAAAAAAAAGAAAAACAACATGGAAATTTTGAAAGAGTCTATCTATATATAAGATATAAATCTGTAAACTAGTTAAATATTGAGTAAGAATATATTTAAGTTAATTCAAGTTTAGAAGATGCATGTGATCTCTTTCTCTTCCCTTGGCGGTTTCTTCATCAGGATTGCATTGATTTTCAGTGTTATTTTCTTCATGCACTCCTCTCCAGTTAATGCAGGTTTCTATTATTGTCTTTGTTCTTATTTTTTAAGAAGTGAAATTTCAGTTATTAGATTATTATGATTAAATGATTTATTTTACAGATATGGAGATAGAGATTATGAGAAAATTGGGTCTGATAGAGAGACAGAGAGAGTTTGCACCTCCTCCACCAGAATTAGCTGATGCACCACAGCCAGGGTTTGTGCTTTAGAAATTCTATAATATGGAACTGTTTGAGGAACAAAATAAAGGAGTTGAATAAATTGTACTAAAAAAATATATATTATAGGTCTGTTTAAACTATTCAATAAAAATATTATATCATAATTTAGTATGATATTTATTATATATAGTTTTATTGGTTTATTATAAAAAAACTTTACTTGATTCTAAATAATTATATATAGCTATTTGTTCATTATTCATTAGATTTTTATACTAAAAAGACATGAACATAGACACACTCTACCTACCTTCTATATTAAAGGGCTTAGAGTATCTTATCCTTGACAATCTAACAAAACTGCAAATTATGTTAGAGATATTTGATTTGATTCGATTAGATTTAATATTTAAATATAATTTAAGTTGTATTAGTTCAGCCTAATTAGGGTTATATATAAATAGTCATAATATGTATTATTATTTGTAACAATTCATTCAATAATATCAATTCTTATTTCTTTATTCTCTCTTTTTCTCTTTACTAAAAGTGTCTCACGCACTAATAAATTGGTATCTAGAGCCCCGGTTAGATTCTTGATCGTGTTTTCGAGAATCACACGTCAGAGGTCGTGTTTTTAGGATCGTGGGTTATTGTTGATCAATCGCTTCAAAGATGAATGGTAACGGAAATTTACCAAACTCCCTTCCAACTCTTAACGGCAAGAATTGACTTTAATGGAGAAAACATATGTAGTCTTTATTTGACTTTCATGAAACCTTAGAAGTGGTTACTAATGGCGTTCATGCGGTTGGTGAAGATGCAACCGAAGCATAGAGAAGAAGGGTTGCAAGGCGGCGTTCTACATCCAATCGGCGGTTGATGCGACTAACTTTGATAGAATCGCTCATGCTGAATCGACTCATCCATCTCATGAAGGGTTGTGGTGAAACTCTAACTAATAACATGATAGTTGAGAAGGTAATGCGTACTTTGACCTCTCACTTTGATTGCGTTATCGTAGCTATTTAAGAATCCAACAATCTTAAAACCCTAAAACTGAAAGATTTAATCGGTAGAAGATATATTTTCTTCATTTGATTTTTCAAAGAGGTAAGAGAGTTAGATTGGTAACAACTTCGTCAAAATCACATAACAAGTTATAGGATAACACTATTATATGATTGTTTTGCTTCTCAGTATTTCACAAGCACGTATCAGATCCATTACAAGCTGCATGAGGGGCAGTGTCACTTTTCTTCATTGCTTTCTTTGCCTTGGTCTTCATCTCACGTCTCACACCACTAGTTAAAATTTCATGATAAGATACATACTTAGCAATAAACAAATTAAACATGTGAACAATCTAAGCTTGTGTTGAATCTCTCAATACTAACATACCCTAATCCTAAGACACTTAAAATCTATGAAACTTGACCAAAAAAAACTCTACTTTTAAAACAGAAAAAAAAATATAATCAAAATTTTAACAATTAACTTGAATCAAGCGATTTGTTATGATGCTGCTATCTTGCACTATTTTAGCCTTAGCCAAATTTTATTTGGCAGTCATACAACTTTCAGTGCTGTAACTATGGAAGTGATTAGATTGTGTACTTGCATAATGAAATACACAGCTGAAGCAATTGTCACTTATGCATTGGAAGTGATTAGATAGTGTTTTGTACTTGCTATTAAATAATGATATCATGGGTTGAAAAAATAGAATTTGTCACCCTCTCCTTTTTTAAATCCTTAAATTGTGAAAAATATATTATGTTCTTTTGCTTTTTATTTGTTTTTTCGTTTCTTGATAGCTTTAAGAGTATCAACACTTAGAGTTTGTTACTGTTTCATGTGATGTAGATAATAAACATGGTAGGAGTAACGATTTTAAAGTAGACATTCAATTCATAAAGGCTACAAATTGTGTAAGAAGCATGGATAATGATGGAGGTGTTAATGATGTCAAAATGAACAATGGTAGTTATATACGTAATGAAGAAAAAGAGGATTTGGATGGTTACAAATATATACATGAAATCTCATATAAGAGAGATGAAATTTGAATCAAAGAAAAAAGTTTGTGAATTTTGAAGCCAGCGGGATTATACCTGAGTGAATCACACACTTAAAGATACAACAGAGTCGTCATCGAACTTTATTTAATCTTAAAGGACAAGAAAAATATTGATAAAACCCAAGGGAAGAGAAAAGGGAACGAGGTCGGTTATGAGAAAGGAAGGTACTAGCACTTTAAGCATCCATTGTATCCGACGGGAACCATTTCGCTTGCTTCTAGGCTTGGATGGACTATCTATCTAAAGGCTTCTAGCTAAAAAGAAAGAGAAAGGAAGAAAGTGCTCGCGGAGGATTGGGCCCTCGTGCCTACGTACCCTCATAGTGTAATGAGGAAGCCAGAGCTCCGTAGTTCAAGGAACCAAGGAAGAAAGAAGAGGATCTGGACGGACCAGAGAGACAGAAGAATGGAAGAAGACGGAGGAAGGTGGCTTGCCAAGATTTCGTAATCTTGTGCCTACGTACCCTCATAGTGCAATGAGGAAATCATAGTCTACGTACTTCGGAGAACTAACGCTGAGAAAGAAAAGAGACGGCGTCGAAGTCAAAAGTTGAAAGAGAAAGTAAGACCCAACTGGGGAATGCGAGAGGAATAATGTCAAAACCAAAAAAGCTCTACTGGGGAAAGGAGAAGCAAAGTAAGAACTTTGTCGAGGAATGCAGAAGAAAAGAGATGACTCCACTGGGGAGAAGACGAAAGAGTGGCGACAGAGGCAAGAGAATAAAGGAGTAAAAGACAAGAATCAAAATAAAGGTAAGATCCACGAGAGATTCGGTGGATTAACTGGTAAGCAGTGATTAATCGAAGAAAGATAAGAGTAAAATTTTGTGAGGAGAGAAAAAAGGGTTGGTGTCAACAGACGGACTGCGAAGAACCAAGAGAAAGATAGTACTGAACCAAATGGAGGGGTTTGACTCTAAGGGAAAATCGGTATATTAACTGATAAACAATGGTTAACCGGAAGGAGAAAGAAGTTGGTTTTAACCGATAAATGGTGATCAACTAACAGACGGGTGTGGAAACAAGTAAAGGTTGTGACCCAAAGAACATGTGTGGAACCAAGCGAAGGTTGTGACCCAAAGAACGGTACACTGACTAAACAAACAACACTTGACCAAAGGAAAGGGTATTCAAGCTGAACAAAGGTTTCTAACCCAAAGATGGCAGTATTTGAACCAAAGAAAGGTTGCTAACTGTAGGGGGTTTGGTGCTTAACAGACGGGCTGTAATTAACCGAAAAGAATGAGTGATTAACCAAAAGAAGGTGATTAACTCAAAATAAACTCAGTATCTTAAGAGACAAACTATGGTTAACTGAGAAAAAGGGTGACTGGTTCAAACAGGAGGACTGTGATTGACCAAACGATGGGTGATTAATCAAGAGAAGATGATTAACCCAAGGAAAAGCTGGTTTTAACGGGCAGGCCGTGATCAACCAAAGATCGAGTGATTAGCTAGAAGAAGGCGATTAACCCAAAGAAAGTTGCTTTTAACGGGCGGACTGTGATCAACCAAAGATCGGGTGATTAGCCGGAAGAAGGCGATTAATCCAAAGAAAGTTGGTTTTAACAGGCGGGCTGTGATCAACCAAAGATCGGGTGATTAGCCGGAAGAAGGCGATTAACTCAAATAAAATCCAATATTAATAGGCGGATTGTGATTAACTGGGAAAAAGATGACTGGTGTTTAACTGACAGACAGTGATTAATGAAATAAGAAAGAGAGAGAACTAAGAGAAGGTTGTGAACTCTGATGGGGATTAGGTTATAATATGATGATTGTGTAAACCAAAGAAGAAAGACTGACTTTGTTGAGGAAGCAGAGAATTGGTTTTAACCAAAGAAATGGTTGATCAACCAAGGAAATGAGTGATTACAAATCTCTGGGGAACCAAGAATGGATTGGCCTCAAGAGAAAAGAGTGTTGAATTGAAAGGTGAAATTTACTTCCAAAGAGGAGACAAGAGCCCAAGTGATCAAGGATCGACTCGACTGGAGAAACAGGGATACCACAGTAAGGAGATAGAGGCAACTATTCTAGGCACATGGTCATTCGTCCTACCCAAAATAGTCAGAATGAGTGTAGGAATTCTCCACTCTCATTCCTTCTCTAACACCAAAGCGTGGTGCAAGAAAAAAACTGACAGCACAACAGCGCAAAATTTGTATAGTGCTCCAATGCGTTGCAAATCTTCAACTCCACGGGGAAAAGAGAGGACAAAGCTTTAGAAGATCCAAAGGAGAAGAAAAAAAGAAATGATCGACTAATTGAAATGAAGCATCGATTAATCAATCAAAAAAGGGAAGATGCTAACAATTTTCCAAAGGGATGAAAAATCGTTGAAGCAAAGGATAAATTATTGATTATACAAGATTAAGTTCATTCCAATGAGGAACAAACTTAATGCAAACATGAATGGAATTGAAAAATAGTACCAAAATAATTAGTATGCATTGCAAATCACGTAGCATGTGATCAAAGAATGTGCAAGAAAAACCATGATCATACAATGTCAAAAATGCAAATAATTGAGAATTGATAAATCACACATTGAAAGTTTGCATACATGTTTCAAACAGAAGGTGAACAACTCATTAAACATCCACAAATACCAAGCTTATCAAGCCCTGAAAGTTATATAAGGAAAGAATATCAAACAAGCTTGAAAATAGGCAAAAATAGCATTTTGTCACTGTGGTAGTCGATTACCACATGCAGGTAATCGAGTACCTTCTTAAAAATGGCAAAATCATGTGAACGTTGTGCAGGGAAACCGATTACCACATATGGGTAACCGGTTACCACTGTAATAGTGGCAAAAAATAGCTTTTGAAAAAGCACTTTCAGCAACCAAAACACTTATCCAATCATCCACATGCTATGATTAACATTTGAGCTCGAAAAAATGAATTTCAAAATCACTTAGGCATCAATTAAACACCAATTTAAAGCATTAGACATGAAGATC